AAAAGGGCAAGTGTGAGTTTGTCAATCGGTTTTCGTGTTGGAACTAATCAACAGGCAAAGGAAGAATTGCGTTCGTTGTCAATTTGCCTCCATTCATTCATTGTATAAAACAAAACAACCATCATTGGATTTCAGTTCATTCTTTATTGTTTCAAAATTCAGAACGTTCCATAAGGAACCAATCCATGCAGCGTTAAAACAACACCCAAATCACGACCCAGCAACGTGCCCATCACGAAGTAATCGAAGCCGAGACACTCGGCGACGGTCACCTCGAATTGTAGCAAATCTCCAACCATTATCGAAACCGTGTTTCCAGGGTTTCGGTAAAATGGCGGATTGATGGAATGCATGAACATCAAATCATATGGCATCGAGCATCTACAGATAAACACCAACGTATTCTCAATTCTGCAGATGATTCCACGCGCATTCACTTGCTCCACTACGGCGCACAGCCGTTCGCCAACGACAGGACGAAAAGCGACCACCCTGAATTCAACAGGGAACACCGCTCCATCGCCACCGGCAGTTTTGTCAATCGGTTGTCCAATGCTATCTATCGCATACAAGCGAACAACCATGCCAAGAGCACCGAAACTTGCACCTTCAAACTGTGACGACAGCTTCGTTCTCACGGATTCCATGATGGAAGTATTGAAGTCACACGAGTTCAGCAAAACGTTGCTCTTCAATGTTTGCAGAAAGTACATCTCCGTCACGAACACCTATAAATAAAAATAATGAGATGTTTAGTGACAAACAATGAGAACGTCACTCAGAAGCGCATAGAAACGCCAGCAAAGCAGACAGTAAGTGAGGCTTTGATTAAAAGGCTTCATGCCTCGTATTGCAACTGTACAAGTGATTATCAGGGTCCACCGTATGACCCGTTCCGCATCAGGTTTCAGGGTACAACGTAGATGGAAATGCTACATTTCGAACGATGAATTGTTCAGCAGACTGTCATTTGATAAGCATTAGACAGACGACCAGTGAAATTCATTTTATCTCACCTCCTCCGTTAACCTTGATATCTGATTGGTGAAAGAGTTCCCGTCGACGCACCTCTCTGTCGCCCTTGTCAATACGATGGGCAGCAGTAACTAAAACTCCTGCAAAAATTGATTATATCTGCAAACAGAAGTTGCGCCTCATCCAGACTCTTCTTGCAGCATGTGGAAGTAATTGGGTCATTGCGAAGAAATCCTGTTTAATTAACCAATAGCCACTGGTGAAAGCCCATCGTTTGTTTAACTCACCCAGGTTGCGACTGTACCCAAATGGCTGGAACTGAAGGATTATTATACTTTTGTCCATTTAGAGGAAATCACTCATCACAATCTACAGCAGATTTGGGAGACAGACGGTAGCCATTTTACAGTTACCTGAGCGAGTTTCTTGAGTACGGGGAACAGTCAAATCGACGTGTTCAGCAGATGGACAAACGACCCAGATTCAGCCCAAGACCTTTATCACTTAGAACGCTTCGAAACACTGAGTTGACATGGACAGATCGGTAGCTTCATGAAGTTGAAAAGAGTGATACGCCGAGGCTGTCTCTTTGACTTACAGTAAAGCGTTTTTGGCAAGGAGTGGTGAGTCACAGAGTAAAGGAACATGAAATATCCTACTGTGCAAAGGTTCGGAAAGTGCAATTTTTATCCAATTCACGTTAGGATATCAGGTGCCAAGTACCTTCTTGTTTTGAGGACTGCCGTCCGTTTTCATGACCATCTCGTACCGACGGCGACGATAAATGACATTATAGCCGAATGCTTATATCCAAGCGTTTATTCGACATGTTAACACATACGCAGATAAGATTTCGTTGACTTCCAAGACGGCATTGTTTTCATTGTGTAGATATGGTAATCATAATCGAAAATTATTATTGAATATATGAATTGATGAGGCGCTTTGTAGCGAGTTATTGAAACATAATTTTGCATAAACATAGTTATGAGAACGATATGGATTTTTGTCTGTTTCGAATGAATTAGACCAACCAGGATCGAAATTTCCTAGAGATGAGAATTCCTCGTGGGAGTTTAGGTTTGTTTAATATTGGAAATTTATGTTGAGGTGTTAGATTTGAATTTTTCAGCATATCATTGCGTTTGCTGGATATGGCAATTTTCTGATTTTGTACACAATCCTCATTGCATTGATTCGATATGCGTGAAAAATGTCCGGTTTATTATTCCAGTGATAATTCTCGTATCTTTCTCCTAACCCTAAGTGTCAGAAAAACGATTGTGTCAGATCTTTGCTAAGAGTGGGTTGCT